CCCCACACCCACACCCACACCCATACGCACGCCCACACCCACACGCACACCCACACCCACACCCACACCCTGTCTGGGCCATCGATTGGTATAAAACTCATAAAGACAAAAGATGTTTTTTTGTAGGCATCTTCTGATCAACACATTTTCCTTTGCGTATTTTCATCAATTTTTACAAAAATCTCAAGTCAAATTATGTCAAAATGTAGCTCAAATCACGCTTTTCTCGCTATAAAATTATGACAATTTTTATTATCTCTAAACCTCTTATTGTATGTGGATTTAAAAAAACAATTATTAATTTGATGGCGAAAAAAGTGTGATTCGAGCTACATTTTGACATAATTTGAGTTGAAATTTTTGTAAAAATTGATGAAAATACGCAAAGGAAAATGTGTTGATCAGAAGATGCCTATAAAAAAACGTCTTTTGTCTTTATGAGCTTTATACCGATCAATGGCCCAGACATCGCTCTTTCGAATGGTGAAAACCGCAGCTGTCTATCTCTTTTCTATCAAAAGTTATTCAAAAAATACTCAGTGCTCTTTTATTTTGAAATGGATATTAGTTTTGATGCATCCTAATCGCGAAACGCGTCTAAACGCATGCAAAACTTTGCAACCCGTTCAAACACCCCTATAATGAACGCATTCCAGTGCGTTTGGAGGCAGTTTCAATTGTGAGACGCGTTTAAACGCGTCAAAAAAGCGTTTCATGGTTATATGGGCGCAAGGGAAAAAGGAAACGCAACTGCTGTTAGTTTTCAAAAAAAAGTTTATCATCACTTAGTACCATACAAAACGTTCCAGTAAACGACTGAGCAAGAAATGGAAGAGACAGGTAAGTATTGTTATTTATTCATATGGAAAATTTTTTGATCGAATTTGATTTTTTCTTGTATATTAATATAGAAGTTTTGTTTCGATTATAATACAGTGCTATCAAATATCCAGTATTGGGAACAATTTAGTGCATTGATATTATATTTTTCTGTTTTAACTAAACCGATATCTAATCAAGGTTTAGCATGTTATAAATGTATGACAAATAATACAGAAAATGATGGTTGTCGAGATCCATTTTCATCATTAATTAATCCAATTCACATTAATTGTCAGGTAGATTTGATGATTCTTTTTGTTGTTTAAAGAAAAATAATTTTTCATATATATAAAAGAAAAAAACCTTGTCGATTTTATGTCAAAAGTAATTATTTTCTATCTGTTTAGTTTTTTTCTTTCGAGCACACAAATTGAATAATTTAATTACCAATACTAGAGTTAGTTATAAATGATGGGGACATAGGGCACTTGAGAGTACAAAAACTAATTTACTTTTCAAATAAATAGCATAAGAATCTTGAATTTATTCAGGCAACATCTGTGGGCAAGAATGGAACATTTCCGGCTCGATTCTGTGTAAAAATTAGTGATCGTATATTAAGTATTGATGGTAATGCTAATGCATCTTATTTAAATACTGTTATTTATTATCGTACATGTGTTGTTGATAATATTATGGAATCAACAAAATCATTAGAAACATCAGGCAATTTTTGATTAAAAGGTTTTCAACGTTGGACTGGCTCTATTCGTCTACAAGGTTCTATGTCACTTGGTGCATTTGATGGTTGTAATATTGCACAAAATTTATATTCATCATTAATAATTACTATTACTACTTTATTGATAACTATGTATATAAGTTGTTTTTATTACTAAATATGATGATAATGGTAAATGAAAAATTAGATAGATATTTAAATTATTAATTTTTTTTAAAAATAAATGTGAATTATTTTCGTAGAAGAAAAAGCTTGTAAAAACTTCGTAAATTTATGTTTGTGTAAAATTTTATTTTTTAAACTTATGATAATACAAGCATGATAAACAATGATGAAATTCTCAAGGGAATATGATCAAGGCTTTCAATACGATTTCATC